CCACCCTGCAAGAGGACGATCCTCGTAGCGTTGGACTTGTTGAAAGCCTTCGACACAGCAACCACACAACGCTACTCGAGGACATCGAACAATCTACGTTCCCTTCAGGGCAGAAGCGGTGGACCATGAACTACCTGAGCGGTCGGCAATCATCCGTACTATTTCGAGGTCAAAACTCCAAACTGGGAAGAATTAAACAGAGGGTTCCGCAGAGTGGTGTCCTCTCCCCTTTACTGTTTAATTTCTACATCTCGAAACTCCCTCAACCACCAGAGTTATTTGCCGTGACCTCGTACGCTGATGACTACACGATATTGACGTCTGGCAATGGAATCGATGGCATGTGCTCGACAGTAAACAGCTATCTCTATGATCTTTCTCGCTTCTTCTCTGCAAGGAGTCTGACACTCTCCCCCACTGAATCCACAGCGACCATATTTACAAACTGGACGAAGGAGTACATACTGGATCTAAACACTAGACAGTCTTTGCTCCTTCACTCCCCACACGACCGCGATAACTGCCAAAGTACAGAGCCGCAACAAAATCCTCAAATCGCTGCCGGCAGCTCTTGGGGAAAAGACAAAGAAACGTTGCTGGCAACATACAAGGCAATCGGCCGGCCAATCCTAAATTATGCGGCACCAATATGGTCGCCTGGATGCAGTGCCACGCAGGCGAGGAAGCTTCAGACCTGTCAGAACACTGCACTCCGGACTGTCATGGGATGCCTCTTGATGTCTCCAAACGAACACCTACACAGTGAGGCCCGTATGCTTCCGGTTAAGGAACATAACGAGCTCCTCTCCAAGCAGTTTCTGCTAGGGTGTTTTCGTAGAAACCACCCCTGTAGTCGCCTGCTTGTAGCGGAGCCGCCTCCTAGGAACATCAAGAGGTCTTTCCTTGATTACGTCGACGACATTAGACAGTACGCCGACCGGACTTCGGACGCAACGAACTTCAGACAGGCACTGACCGCCATTCACAGTGGAGCCGACCCCTCTCTGTGAATGGCGTATTACGAGTCAAACTACCAAACATAGCAAATGTAGAGCTCGAGTTGCCTCGCGAAACCAGAGTAACCCCCGCGCAACTTCGTTCTGAATACTGTAGCAGGTTAAACTCCTACTTATCCAGAATAGACCCCGACATACCAAACACATGTCCTGCGTGCAATGAGTCTCCGCATGACACTAACCACCTCTTTGCATGCCCAACAAACCCCACTCATCTAACACCCTTCTCCCTATGGTCCGACCCCGTCGAAACAGCTCGTTTCCTGGGCCTCCCGTTAGATGACCTCGACGACAACGAATCTGGAATTTATCACCCAAACGGGGACTAGGTAATCGTTACAACAACAACAACATTGTGAAATTAGGAACTCACCCCGCCCACTCTTCATATAACGGTACTGTTAAAAACTACTAAAAGCGCGATAAATCAAGCACTAAACAAGTCAGAGACATTAAATTTTATCTCTGGGATGGTATAAGATGATTTTGTAGGAACCACGTTCAAAATTAGATAGTGGACGTGTCACCGCTCACTTTTAGGTGAAAACCCATATCTTGGGATCTGCTTAACCGATTTCAACCAAATTCGGTACATAATATTCTTCTCATATTTCTATATTATAGTACGAAATTGGACGAAATCGGATAACAACAACGCCTATTTCCCATATAACATCATTTTAAATTCCATCTGATTTTTTCACTGAATAATTTTTCCGTGAATAATACGTTTAAAGTATGCCACCTTGTGACCAAAAATTATCTAAATTGAACCAAAACTGTTTAAGCCCCTAGGTACTGAATATGTGGACCCCAGTGCCTATAGTTGACTTTTTACCGAAAATATCGGTCAACATAGAACAAGGCGGCAAGATCCACAAAGAAATCTAAAACGAGTATACCATTTGTCCTTGCGAGAGTATAAAATGTTCGGTTACATCTTTACTTGTTTTCCTTCAATTGTAGTAGAGTATCTAGGTAAAAGATGAAGATACGTAGCACTTCGTGATAAACTAAAACCTGATGCTTATAGTTATTTAAACAAGTCATCTAGAGTTCGACAGCACCACCTCCAAAGCTTGCAATTTCTGCTAAAACTTTCAACAACTCAAGTTGAGATTCCTCTAAACGCGGGCGACCAACTGTTTCGTGCACATTTAATTGTTGTTTTACAACTGAATCCTTGATAACGTTTTTGATTAATGCCTGTCTTTGTTTTCTAAAATTTATATTCAGCGTTACGTTTTTTGCTTTTAAGTAGTTTTCTCGATGCATCAAGACTTTTTTGCAATTTAGTTATTTCTTGATTAATCTGTAGCCCTCCAAGACCCGCATCACGACTTAAAAGACTGGTATTCAACTCACTCTCTATCAGTGAAATTTGAAGCTGTAGAGTTTTAACCATCAAAGCAAAAGGCCCACTAGACACATTTTGCTGTAAAAAGAGATTTAGATTAGAGTTTATCATACAAACCAAAATTTGCATAACTAACAACTTTAATGAGTAGAATTTAAGTGATAGTAATGACTTGAAAATAATATAAAAACAGTAATATTATAATGATATTGAATTATAGTGCCAACTAACCTGTTTAAGAAAAAATCAAGCATGTTGGTTTATTTTAGCAGTAGCAAACTGTTTCAAATCATTTATTTTCTGAGTTATAAATTTTCCAAAAGCACTGTTGTCATTTTTAAATATTTTTTTGTTGTCCAGAACAAGTTTGACTTTTGTTGACAAACCTTAGGTGTTTTTTTTTAGGAAACCTTCTACCCACCATGCTTTAAATAACAGTGGATAAAATATTCAGTATACAATTAAATGACGTATATTTTCAAAAGTCCAAATAACAGGTAAATCCCCGGTCAACGAAAATAACAATAGAATAATAGAAGTCTAAAAGTACTGAGAACATTTTTATCTGTTTTAATATCAAGTTAAATAGATGAAGTACAAATGGCGCTATTCTATAAAGTCAACTCTTACCTCGAGAGTCTATCGTAATATCAAGTTCACTACCCCCTGCCCATGGTAAGATGTTATGAGATTCACTCAACATATATGCCAATGCATGGATGCATCATTACACACCTGTGTCTAATTGGCAATCTGGTAAATGGTGAAACTGGTGTTGTTATTTACGTTCTTAAAGTGTCTTAATTCACGGTACTATTATTTGGGGATTTATTGAGGGATTATTTATTAATTATAAGCTCTTGTAAAATTAATCCATTATTTTTAAATTAATATTAAACTGAAGGTTTTATTTAGCATCGTTAGAATGGTTGGATTTAGGTCAAATATGCACCGTTTATTCGATAAGTTTTTGCCATTTTGATGGTAATATCATAATGCTACTCATATAAACCCTCGTCCTTACCATTAGTGTGATTTTCCCGGACCTTCCATTAATGTGATTTTTGAGTTATTACAATTGCGATGCAATTTGTTGCAATTACAATTGAATGTCTGATACTCTAAAAATCTAAATGCCAACGCCTCAGGTGGCTGGCACATGCTTTGTTTTTTAGGTATTCCCGATTTTGGCTCTGCAGTCACGTACGTCGCTGCATTTGTTGTTGCAACCTACTGTGGTATGTTAAGAATTACCCTGCTAGAAGAGGAGGCGTCCACGGATCCCTTATGAATGTTACTCAATGTAGAAATACCAACGTTCCGTTTTCGGCTCTTGTTGATTATGTAGGATAATAATCGTAGGCAAACGTCTCTAAGAATCGCATATCTCCGCCCCAATTTCTCAGTCGAAGCGGTCCTCATACTCAGATTATTGTACGATATTGACGTCATGTGTCTAAAAGTAAACAGCTATCTCACCGATTTCGTTTTTTCTCTGCAACCATATTCACGAAGAAGTACAGATTGGATTTTAATATCACAATAGATGTCATTGAAATTCCGACTGTCAAAACCCAATGATTTGAGGCGTTACACTCGACAGCTTCTGCTGCACTTCGCATACGATCGCGGTCCTCAAGTCGCACCCAGGAAAAACACAAAATTTGTTGGCAACATACAACCCAATCGGCCGAGCGGCCAATAACTACGCAACACCGATATGGTCCCGTAGATGTAGTGAAACGCAGACGAAGAAGCTTCAGCCGTGTCAGAACACTGATATCCGTACGATAACAGGATGCCTCTTGCAGTCTCACCTGCATAGAGATACTTGGTTGCTTCGGGTTAAGAAAAACAATGCACTCCTCTCCAAACAGTTTCTGCTTTAAAGTTTTCGCAGAAATCATGCCTGCAGTCATCTGTTTGAAGTCGAGCCGCCTCCTAATAGCAAGAAGAGGCCATGTTTCGTGAAGATACCTCGTCAAATGAAAAAGTTTTCCATACAAGCACTTTATTCCGATTGTTCAGTTTGTATGGCAGCTATATGCTATAGTCATCCGATCTATACAATTTCTTCGGAGATTAGATAAATGCCTTAAATAATAATACATGCCAAATTCGTGAAGATACTTTGTCAAATGAAAGAGTTTTTCATACAAACACTTGATTCCGATTCTTCAGTTTGTAATGCAGCTATATGCTATAGTGGTCCGATATCGGCCGTTCCGACAAATGAGCAGCTTCTTTGTGAGAAAAGGACAGGTGCAAAATTTCAGATCGATAGCTTAAAAACTGAGGGACTAGTTTGTATATAATATATACAGACAGACAGACGGACATGGCTAAATCAACTCAGCTCATTATCATCATTTATGTATACATTTTATAGGGTCTCCGGCGTTTCCTTCTGGGTGTTACAAACTTCATGGCAAACTTAATATACCCTGTTCATGGTATAATGAATAAATTTCTTATGTACATACATACATATGTACAAACATAATTATATCCTATTATTCCTAAAATTTGATCTAAAGTAAGTGTAAAATATTTCATCTATTGCAATATTGTTATATAATTTCCTTAATAACTATATATCTTTCTAAGCACACTATTTTATTTTGTAGGGCGCAGGATACTTAAGTTGCAACGCAATTTCTGAGGAGGAAACCTCAATTGTACTACATCTCGCTATGGAACTTTTTTCGAAGGCACTTCAAACCGAAATTCAAGAAAGAGTTATATGCTGCACCTTAGATATGTTTAGCTTGTGGATGCTAAAATTTATTGGTGAATTACCTAAATCAATCATCGATATCTTTAAAAGAGGGTTGGATCTAAAAACAACTACGCAAACAGTAAGAATATCATATCTTCAATGGTTTTTAGCTGGTCTTAACAATGCAAAATTGCACCATGATCTTAACTTGACACCCCTACTTATAAAAATAGTAGAGAGAGGGTTACAAAGCCCTCTTCAAATTTCACTTGTATGCGAATCGGTTTGCGCTGCTTGCATCATAATACAAACAATTAAAATAACTAGTGATCCTATATTTGGAAGTTTTTGGAGCACTATATTTGACATGAATAAGCAGATATTTTTTTCCGAACGATTCATGGCAGCTGCGCCCCCTGAAACATTATGCTACGTATCATTAATGGCTGAAAAATTATTAACGCAATACTCTGATAAACTTAAAGGCCCATTGAATGTTCTATTCAAGGCTCTTGTTTGTAATTTGATATCAAATTCCGAAAAACTCAGAACATATACTTTGAGTTTACTTCCAAGATTGATGAATGCCAATGGGGGTGTAGACTATATTAACAAAATTATGATCGAACTTGAAAATCAGATCGATAATATTAAATTCAGTAACGATTATGATGGTCATCACGAAGAAAATCTTGCTACTAAAAACATCTTAGTAGAAATAATGCAAAGTATATGTAACTTTGAACAAATTCCTGATGAAGCTAAAAAACTAGCTTTGCAGTCTCTACTTATATGTCATCATCCTGGTGTGTTTTGTAACAATTCGGTTTTGTGGGAAACCATTTTAAAAAGCAAGTTTAATTTTGATCCAGAAATATTTGTTTCGGTTAATGCTAAAGAAATTACAAATATAATAATGGATAACTTTCAATTGAAAAAAACCTATGAAAATTCTATTTCTACAATTGTTCGGCTAAGTGCTGGGAAATTATTATCAACGCTAATGCAAAAAATTATAACCGATTTAATAAGTGTTGAAAGTAGTGATATTACTGAAGAGGAATACTATTTATATCTAACACCAAAACGAGAGATATTCGATGAGACAGCTATTAAAAGTGATATATATTCTGCAACTGGACACGCGCGAGACAACAAACATCAAAATGAAAAAACAATTAGTAGTGAAAGTGAGAAAAAACGATATAAGGCAAAAGCAAATCTTTCCGAACTTTCACAAAAACAACAAGAGGTTATTAAAAATCAGATTGAGAAAGAAAACTATACGAAAGATCGTGTTGGCATTCTCGATAAAAAGTTAAAAAATGCCATATCTATGTTAGAAGCGGCATTCGCAGGAAATCCTAAAGCAGTTTCATTACATTTTCATAAGTTATTAATGCAACTATTAAAGTTACTTACATGTCCAATCGCAGCTGAATCGTTGGCAAAACTTTATTTCAAATTTCGAGAAGCATGCTTTGAAGATAGCTTTGACTTGGGTAGAGATATTGCTGTAATGACCGTACGATTAGAAAACCCACGGATAGATTTGCCAAATGAATGGATAACAAACGATATGAACGAGATCATTGAAAGTATTTTACTCAACATCCATAAACTCTTAATATACCGTCATACTGATGGACATAAAAATACATCAAACACTCTATTTAGCGCACCGTCCTTCACATATACATTCGAGTTTTCTACGCAAATTTGTCCGCAAACGCTCGTTTTAAAAACTCGAATGTATATGTATGTGAAGGACGGCTTGCCGCCCCCTACAATCAGAGTGTTGATGTATTTTTATGTCCATCAGTATGACGGCACTATATTAAGAGTTTATGGATGTTGAGCTAACAATACTCTTCAATGATCTACGCTTCATATCGTTTGCTATATCGCATCTTCATTTAGGCACAATCTATCCGCTGGTTTCAGCCTTACATTGTTCATGTACTACCTCATCTATTGCAATGCTTTGCCTTACATTGTTCATGTACTACCTCATCTATTGCAATGCTTTGAGAATACGGTTTAGTTCTGTTCAATTATTAGGAGATTTGCTATACAGAATATCGGGCGTATCTGGAAAAATGACTACAGAAACGGCAAGTGAAGATGATAATTTTGGAACCGAACAGTCACATACTGCCATAATAAGATTTTTAGGCGAAGAAAGGCGAAATAGAGTTCTTTCAGGCCTTTATATGGGCCGGAGTGATGTATCACTGATGGTACGACAAGCGTCACTACATGTTTGGAAAGTCGTAGTAACAAACACACCACGCACACTAAGGGAAATCTTACCTACATTATTTAGTTTACTATTAGGATGTTTGGCAAGCACCAGCTATGATAAACGTCGAGAGTACTTCCCGAAATAATACCAATATTAGAGAAGGGACTTAATTCGGAACATCCAGATCAACGTCAAGGAGTTTGCATTGGCCTATCGGAAATAATGACCTCAACTTCTCAAGAAATGGTATTGTCGTTCGTTAACAGTCTAGTTCCAACAGTTACAAGAGCTTTATCGGATCCTTTACTTGCGGTGAGAGGAGCCGCGGCAAATACTTTTGAATCTTTACATTCAACTGTTGGCTCACGTGCTTTAGACGACATTTTACCTTCAATGCTTGAGGAGTGACGACCCTGATCCAACTGTTGCAGAATATACATTAGATGGCCTTCGCCAAGTGATGATAATTAAATCTCGAGTGGTATTGCCATATCTTGTTCCCCAATTAACATCAACTCCAGTAAATACAAAAGGCTTTTCCATATTAGTTTCGGTGGCAGGGGATGCATTAACAATGTACCTTCCAAAAATTCTAGATGCTTTGGTACATGCACTTTCCGATGCACAAGGAACTGCCTATGAGTACCAAGAATTAGATTATTGTCAAGCAGTAATACTGTCAATCACAGACGAAATTGGTGTTCGAACAATTGTCGACACTCTAATGATGTCAGCAATTGATTGCATAAATATAAGAAAGTCGGCGTCAAGTGTACTTTGTGTATTCTGTACACACTCTCCAGGTGATTATTCACAATATGTTCCACAATTGTTACGCAGTTTATTACGCCTAATGGCTGATTCCAATCGCGACATTTTACAAAATTCATGACATGCGTTAAACTCAGTTGTGAAAACTTTTGATCCAACTCAACAAATTGCTCTAGTGTGTGACGTTAGACAAACCGTACGGTTTGCTTCGAGCGAAATTAAATGTTCCGAGCTGCCGGGCTTTTGCCTTCCGAAAGGAATTACGCCTCTACTTCCCGTCTTTCGGGAAGCAATTTTGAATGGAATGCCAGATGTTAAAGAAAATGCAGCCGAAGGATTAAGTGAAATTATTTCTCCAACAAGTTGTAAAAAATCTAATAATGTTTTAAGAAAATCACTCCGATTCATGAACAGTTTCTGCGGTAGTTTATTTAACACTGAATAATAAAGAAGAAAAGTACAATCTTTATAATGGAACAATACTTCAAAATCATTAAGTATGTATAATAACGTCTTTACATAGAGAGAGTGAGAGTAAGAATAATTATAGCATAATTAATGTTGGCCATGGTAGGTTTGAATACATGCTACATTTTTTACATCCTCGGCCCGGCCATGCCAGATGATACTTCCAATGGATACAGTAATTGAATAGGTCTCTTTAGAAATACGTTATTTCCTAATCGGACATTACAAGCTCGGACGTGACCATCTCTGCCATGGAATACGGAATCGACTACAGCTAATTTCCAAAGAAGTCTTGATTTCAAATCTTCGTGTACTAAAACAACATCTCCAACTT